CCCTCAAAATCCTAAACCCTAAACCTTGCGCCGTTGTTGTGGAGGAGCCCGAAGCACTGGGACCGCTTCCGGGGCTCCAGTGGTTCCCTCTCTCCCTAAGAAGGCCCACTCTCTCTCTCTCTCTCTCTGAGTAGGGGTCTTTCAAAGGAGCTTTATCTGAGGGGTTTTTGAGGATGTCGGGGCTTTTGGGCTGTGGGGGTCTTCGGTGTTGATTGAGTTTTAGGTTTTGGTACGTCTCTCTGCGTGGGTGGAAGGGCGATTCGGCGGTATGTCATGTATTCCCGAAGTTTTGGATGGCGTGGGGGTTTGTGGGTCAGGAAGGGTTCAGTGGCAATAAAGTGGTAGAAATTACTTGCTATGCGGGTTGTCTCATTTCTGTTTTTCAGTGTCTGCTGGCAGTGGGCAGTGTGGGGACTTTGGTAGACTTAGTTGGCAAGCCCAAGGTCAGCAGTCTAAGCCCTTAGTCCCAAGATTGCTGAACATGTAGGGTTTTCATCGCCAAAAGCAAAAAACAGTCATTTCATGAGCTCCTTTATTTTGAAACTTGTGGTGGTCCTGATGTTAGCCCTTATAGTAAACAACTGGTTCTAAATCCAGCAAATTAAATGGGTTGAGGCCTCACTTAGCTTCAGGTCTTACGGCTCATCGGCACCTGTACCCTGCACCGTACGCTGCACACCCAAGACAGGTCCTGAATTGCAAAGCATCCAGCACCGAAAACCTTCGATGCTGGAACCATACACCGACCCCCTGTGCCCCGAAGTTCTCGATCTCCCACTTTCGGATGTTTTTGAGTTGCATGCACAGCAGGAAAAACTGCAGAACTACTACTACTACTACTACTCCTACTCCTCCTCCTACTCCTACTCCTACTCCTACTGCTACTGCTACGGCTACTGCTACTGCTACTGCTACTGCTACTGCTACTGCTGCTGCTGCTACTACTACTACCACTACGACCACCACTACAACCACTACAACCACTACAACCACTACTACCACTACTACCACTACTACTACTACTACTACTACTACTCCTACTGCTACTGCTGCTGCTACTACTACTACTACTACCACCACTACTACCACTACTACCGCTACTACCACTACTACCACTACTACCACTACTACTACTACTACTACTACTACTGCTACTACTACTACTACTACTAGTACTAGTACTACTACTAGTACTAGCAGCAG